CCTTTTTCTATTGCAATATCTTATTTTAAAAATCCTACTTTTTGTGCAGTTATTATTTCTCTTTGGTTTCCTTCATTTTTAACAGTTATTCAGTTGTCCATCTTTCATGACATTGATTCTTTTGAATAGTACTGATCAGCTATTTTGTATAATGTTCCTCATTTGGAGATTATATTGTTTCTGACAATTGGAGTGAAGTTACACATTTTTGGCAGAATGCAGAATATCAGGAGCACGTGATGGCGACGTGATGTTTCCCTTTATCATTTGGAATGCCATCTTAATGCTACTAGGGGGTGCACATAGCATTTACTGAACATTAGCTATAGGCTAGGAACACTGACTTTGTTTTTCTTTAAGCCTTCTAAAAATTCTGTGACGTAAGTCTCACTATACCATTTTACTTAGTCTCTTAAAAATTATGAAACTTATCTAAAGTCATAAAAGATCTGTTTGATTCCAAAGCCAGGACTTTTTCTGACAGAGAATAGCACTTCTTCAACATGGGAAGTCATTAAAGCAAACCCAAGTGCATTATGAGTTGCTGCTTTTTTAGAATTTGATTCTCAATTTCATTTTCCTTTAGGGAGAGGACTGTAGAGTCACAATTTTAGAAACAGTCTTTTGTTGTGGATTAGCAAAGTCAAATCTTTAGTCATCAAAATTTATTGAAAATTTCTCCATTTTACACAAAATCACAATTCCTTTGACCTTTCTTCTACAAGACTTGTGATGCTATTTCCTTTTGGGTTATACTAATACAAAGGCCAAAAAAACAAGTGCAAACTAATTTCCTAATTGAAAACTATGAGATGTTAATTTTTTAAAATTTAGTCATATATAGACAATACTTGCATCAAAATGAATGACCAAAAGTTAATGATTACTTTTTCTCTTCAGATAGTTTGTTTTCCAGGGAAGGAAAATGCACAAGCATAATGTATGCACAGCACTTGCCATTCTCAGTAATTAATATCCACATCTTGTGAGTGCCCTGAGTACCATTTAAAGGGTTAAAAACTTTATCTGGTCTAATATGATGGCTGAATATAAGGAAAAAAGTTGAACCTCTAAAGAAAAGCAAAATGAGGTGTGTATGGAAAGTGTTTAGCATAGTGCCTGGTCCACAGTGAACACTCCATAAGTTTTAGCTCTTCTTGTTGTGCTGAAGCTGTCCAAGATGTCACCGTGGTTTAGCCTGGGGGAGAGAATATGTGGTTGGCTCATTCTTTGTCCTGTGAGACAGATCAGACTGCTATATATTTAGAAAGGAAGATGGCTGGTCTCTGGGCTAGCTTGGCAGCTATTTATCTTTTGTAAATGCTCCTGTGCTATGTTACGGCAATATAATCTAAAACCACCATTATGAACCCATTGAGGAGCAAGACTGAAAGCTAAATCAAGGCAATGTGGCCAGGAGACAGTTAACACAGTTCAGTCACTTTTGCAATTACTTACTTCCCTTTGGGCTTCCCACCTAGGAAAGTCGCTTTAAAATATAAGTAACCATAGTGGCCCTGGCTAAAGGTTGGAGTTTCTTGACCTTGACACTATTGACATGTGAAGCTTTAGATATTTTTTGTGGTGGAGCCGTGCGTAGGATATTTGGAAGCATCCCTACCCTCCATGCACTAGATGCCATTAGTACCCCTAACCCAGTTGTGACAATAAAAATGCCTCCATATATTTCCAAGTAGCAAAATAACCCCCACTGAGAGTCACTGGTTAGAGGTAATAAGTAATTCTATACTCAGTGATCACTGATTCAAACTGAAAATATTTGAGTATAGGAAACAACAACATGTGTTTTGACAAATGTTACCACATGTATTTAATGCGATTTTCACAAAAAATCAATGAGATGCTTTTATTCCACACTCATAGACAGGAAAACAGAGGATCTTAAGAATCGGGTGATTTGCTTTCAACCTTCCACATAACTGTTCTATGGTGGGATGGTGATTTGACAACAAAGCCCATGCACATTCTGTTTTGCTCTCATGACTCTCAGTTTAAATAGAAGGCCTAGTTTTGTGCATTTTCTTCTGTTCAGGAAGAGAATAGTTACAGTTACCACATATGAATGATTAATAAGCAATTGTCTTTCAGAACTAAAATCATCAGTCTTTATTCTGCTTTATGAAGCTATGGCTGGAACTCAGTTAAACTACATTTCTCCCTTATCAGTTAGCTTCCTATTGGTTTTACCAACAGGGAGCACTAGAGGAAGATTGGCAGGCAAGAGGAAAGGAAAAGGACTTTCTTTGTCCTGTATGCCAGACAGCATGTCGCACAGCCAGTGCTTCAAAAGTTGAATGAATTGAGAAGTTTTGCCTCACTTGCCATATTCATCTGACCTCTCGCCAACGGACTACCACTTCTTCAAGCATCTCAACAACTTTTTGTAGGGAAAATGCTTTTACAACCAGTAGGATACAAAAAATGCTTTCCAAGGGTCTGTCAAATCCCAAAGCACGGATTTTTACACTATAGGAATAAACAAACTTATTTCTTGTTGGCAAAAAATGTGTTGATTGCAATGGTTCCAATTTTGAGTAATAAAGATGTGTTTGAGCTTAGTTATAATGATTTAAAATTCACGGTCCAAAACTGCAATTACTTTTGCACCAACTGAATAGCTGTTTCCGACATCAAGACTGATCCAGCAACTGCTACTGCTGGGTGCCTAAACTACTAACAGCAGAAAGCAACACTAAGTCCCCAGTATGGCAGCATTCTCCCAGAAGACCGGCCAGTTTCTGGTGGCAGGTTAATTACATGGATCCCTTCTGTCACTGACAGAGTAGTGGTCTTTCTTCACTTGAGTAGATATATCTTCAAGATATTGATTTGCCTTCCCAGCCAGTAATGTTTCTGCCAAAACTACCATCTGTGCACAAAAAAAATGCTTTACTTACCATCATAATATCCCACAAATTATTGCTTCTGACCAAAAACTCGGTTCACAGAAAAAAAGTATGGCAATGAGTTGCATGACCATGGAATTCATTGATCTTACCTTATACTCCATCACCCAGAAGCATCACCTTACAGAAAAAAAGAAAAGCTCAGCTAAAGTTTTGGTTATGACCAATTGGGATATAAACAAGACTAAAAGAAACTGGGCTCTATCACACAAGAGATAGCAAATGCTTTGAATCAGCAAAGAATATTTTTGTCTGACTCCCATAGGCAGAAATTATGGACTCACGAATCAAGGGATAGATGCGAGTGACTCCTCTCATCGTTATGTTTAATATCACATTGTCAGAATGTTTCCTTTCTTTCTTTTTCTTTTTCTTTTTTGAATTGGAGTCTCACTCTATTACCCAGGCTGAATGCAGTAGCATGCTCACAGCCACCGCAACCTTGACCTGCTGGGCTCAGGCCAGTCTTCTGCCTCAGCCTTTCAAGTAACTGGAACTACAGGCATGCGTAACCATGCCTGGCTAACTTTTTGTTTTATTGTAGAGATGAGGTCTCGCAAAGTTGTCCAGGCTGGTTTAGGACCCCTGGGCTCAAGCAAACCTCTCACCTCTGCCTCCCAAAGTGCTAGGATTATAGGCGTAAACCACCACGCTCGGCTTCATAGTGTCTTAATGGCATAGTTGAAGTAGCCGCCTTGTCACCCTTTGAGACTAATCGCTAGTTGGCAGTGCTAGTTGGTAGATGGTCAGGGATGTGGGACACAAACCAAGAGTGCCCTCAGGTGTCTTGAGACCCTGATATGGAGAAACCTCTGAGGCGGGGCAATTGTTTCAGAAAGTCTCAGTGCTCAGAGGCTTACTTAATCCCTTCCTTTCAAGTCATGGAAGTTAGGCTGATTTGCTAGAAAACAGAAGTGTCTCTGAACTTTGGTGCACAGGATGACTTGTGGACTCTAGACCTTAGCCTAACCCTGCATTAGAAAAATGTTCACTGGGTGAGCAGCGGTATTCCTGGGGAATCTTTCCTCTAAAGGTCTGAGTAATATATTCCTGGGAGGTAAGAAAGAAGAAAGCATGGGGCAAGGGATAGGGCAGAGTAGGAGTGCTCATTTCACTACCTCTGCAGTGTTCTTCAAGACTGGAATTTTCTGCAGCTAGGGCACCAATCAGTCAATTATTGAGTTTCTCTTTGTATGTTCATGACTGTTAAGTCACAAATGGAGAGTCAGTTCCAACTTGTTTTGATAATTCCCCTTTAGTCTAAGCAGAAGATAGTCTGTTCATACTAGGAATGAGATTGAAAGCTGGAATTCTGTAGCCTTAGCCAAGGCAAGTTTTGCTGCAAGAAATCCTTGTCATGTAGCTCCAACATCTTCTTAAGTCTCCTATCTAGACAATGCAAAGCAGTGGAGCATGCAACAAACTTGTAAAAGCCATGGAAGGGGAGGGAGACATGCTTGCAAGTAGGCCTCAAAAATGAAGGTCTCCTATTTTATTGGTATCAGAATTAGTTGAAGAACTTGTTAGAAAGGTAAATCCTTTGAACCCCCTCCTCACCTTCATAGTCCTGAGCAGCTGAAGGTACACAGTCATGTTGGGGGGAAGGAGAATCGATGGATTCTACCTGAGGCAAAAAGATGAGGGAAAGAACAAAGAAAAAGAGCTGAAAAAAGGTGTCGGAAAACATGGGCCGAAGTGAGCACAATGGTGAAAGAAAAGAACCATACAAGAACATAAAAGAACATGGTGGCCAGGCTTATGACCTGTGGGAAAGCGCCATGTTGACATGAGGCTTCAGAAACTGGCTTTCCCTGGAGTCTCTGCTTCCAGGTCACCAAGTTAGTCAAACAAAATTCCCAAAAAACTCCAGAATATTAGGTTGGGCGAATGGGCCAACATTCAAGGAAGAACAGCTGCAAGATAGGTCAGGTGTAGTCCTGCACCACCCTTGTGGATGCAGCAGCTCTGGGGGTCTCGAGATCAGACAAACTGGTCCTGGCACCCCAAACTAGGGGTGATCTCCCTGAGCAGAATTCTTCCAAGTGTAGTGAATCCAGCCTGGAGAGAAGGCCTTCAACCTGCTCTGTGCTGGCTCTGGTACTTTGCAATCTCCTCCTGGATACGAAACTTGAGGGCCTCTCGCATGGGTGGGTCCGGAGGCCTGTGTGCTGACACCTCACTCACCCTTCCTGGGTCATCATCCTGACACACAATAACTGAGGTGATCTCTCCACTGTTTGCCTTGTATTCTAAGCAGAAGAACTGATAGCCAGAAGGCTCCAGCTCGGAGCTACCACTACTGCTGCTTTCACTGGACTCTTCACAGTCTGGGTTGCTTGGGTGGTGGAGCCATCACGGCGTCACGACAGGTACATCTGCGGGTACGACTTGCTGGGCCACAGGGACACTGGCATGTGCCACCTTCTCACCTTCTTCTTGGCCACCTGCTTCACCTTCTTGTCGTAGTCGTCCTGGGCAATCTGGTTCTGTTGCATATGGTGTACAAAGTCATGCTTCATGTCCAGATGCCCCCTGGGCTTGCAACAGTGCCAGGCTGGGGATGCAGCCCCACCCCCATGGGGGGGCAGGGCCTGGGCCACTTCTCCCCTGGCCCTTATATTTTCTTCCTTGTCTCGTGTGGTGGGTATTTTTGTGTATGCATGCATGTGTGTTTGAAACATTAACTCCTTTTTCCTTTCTTCTCCTTTTCCCTTATTATTCTATATAAATATTGTTGGTAATGTTTAACTTCAAAGTTTCGTCTTTTTTTACTTTGAAATAATTTTAGATTCAGAAATCTCATGACTCACAGAATATTCAAATACAGTTGTGATTAATCTCAAGGAGAAAAAAAATTTCTCCAGAGAGTGACTGCTAACCAGAGATGACTATTATGATAGTTGGTACTTTGTGTTTCTTCTTTTTGAAGAGACGACAGCATGTTTGTCTATGCAAAAGATAGCTATATATCATTAGGCAGAATAATAAATATATTATTTTGACTTGTATAATTTAAAATATATGTAAACAGGTATGCATGGATTCTGAGGTGTCACAGTTCTGGATTCTGTCAATATTTAGGCCATTAATGAATCAATTATACCATTCTATACCCTGTTTTGAGACTGGAACTCGGCAAACTACATTTCTCCTTTGCCATCTCGATTTCTGTCAAGTTCTTTTTTTTCTTCTGCTGCTTCTTTTTTTGAGTAGGAGTCTCACTCTGACACCTAGGCTGGAGTGCAGTGACACTCTCACATCCACCCACAGTCTTGACCTGCTGGACTCAGGTAATCTTTCCATCTCAGCCTTCCAAGTAGCTGGAACCACAGGCACGTGCCACTATGCCTGGCTAATTTTTTTTATTTATTGTACAGATGAGGTCTTGCCAAGTTGCCCAGGCTGGTCTCGAACCCTTGGACTCAGGCAATCCTCTCGCCTCTGCCTCCCAAAGTGTTGGGACTACAGGTGTGATCCACTGAACCTGGCTTCCTGTAAAGTTCTTATGGTAGGGGGAGCTAGACAGAGATTAAAAGTCTGGAGAAGAGAAAAAGGGAATTCCTCCTCTTAGCTTGCTGTTGCTGTGAGCTTCTTCACAATAGCAATAGACCTTTATCCCAGTAATACAGTTGGTTTCAGCCCAACTTTTTGTTCCTTTCCCAAATTAGTTTTATCATGTTTCCTTACAGTTACCAGAGGTAGCCAGTTTGGGCCCTTCATCTGTGGTCTGCACCCTAGATCCACAGAATCCCTCTTTTAAGATTTTAAAAGTTTAAACAGCCTTGTTGGAATATAATTTACATACCATTACATTCACCTACTTAAAGTGAATAGTTCAGTGGTTTTTAGTATATTTACAGAGTTGCACAACCATCGACACAATCTAATTTTAGAATATTTTTTGCCATCCCCAAAAGAAACCTAGCACCCACTAATAGTCACTTCCCATTTTCTACCCCTCTTCCAGCCCTAAGCAACCACTAACCTGCTGTATGTCTCTATGAATTTGCCTATTTGGGATATTTCATATAAGTAAAATCATACAATTTTTGGCTTTTGTGACTGGTTTCTTTCACTTAGCATGTTTTCAATCTTCACCCATGTTGTAGCACATATGAGTACTTTATTCCTTTTTATAGCTGAATAGTACTCATCATATGGATATACTGTATCAATTTTGTTTATCAATTCTGTTTATCCATTCATCTGTTGATGGATATTTGAGTTGCTTCTACTTTTTGACTATTATAAATGCTTCTACTATGAACATTTGTGCACAAATTTTGTATAGATTCATTTCCATTTCTCTTGGGTATATACATAAAAGTGGAATTACTGGGTTGCCTGATATTTCTTAAGCTTATTAATTCTCAGCATTCATTTCTCTGTATTTTATTTCTTCAGTTCTAGCAGTAGCAGCTCTTGTCTGTAGTTTTAACCCCTGGACTACCTCAATGTTCCCTTTTGTATCTTTCTATCCTCCAATGACTGTGTGATCATTTCTCTGCATTAAGTTTCTTCTCTTGAAGTATCTAGTATGGTTTCTGTTTTTCTAACTAGACCCTTGGCAATATGATCATGTGGAGCATTACAACTAATTTTGTTCATCTTTACTGAGCAAAGAACAGAAATCTCTCTAAACCTCAGCAGGTCATGTAGAAATAGTTCTCACACAATAAAGGCTGTTAAGATTTGGCATATATGCTGTTCGTCAGTAACAGTATTTAATTGGAATCCACTGCATGAGTGGCCATCTTAAGACTATTGTAAGCATATGTCTGAAATAGTTTAAGGTCAATACTAATTAAATTCTGTAGTAAAATTCATTCCTTTATTTTTCTATTTCTTCATTCATTTAATGATTATTTATTGATCACTTACTTTGAGCTAAGCACCGTTCTAGGTGCTGGTGATACAGCAATGAATAAAATAGAAAAATATTAATAATCATAGAGTTTATATTTTAGTGCAAGAGAGAGACAGTAAAGAAGTAAGTATAACATATAAGATGGTAAATAGTACTATGAAGAAATTTAAAGATAGGAAGAAAGATAGGGAGCGCTGAGCTTAAGGAGTACAGTTTTTAATAGGCTTACTAGGAAAGGTTTAACTATAAAGGTAACAATCAAGCAAACTCCCAGAAGAGATGAGAAAGAAGGCATTGGATATCTCAGGGAAAGGGTGTGCCAGGCAAAGGAAGCAGCAAGACCTCCCTCTCAAGGCCCCAAGTTAAAAAGATGCCTGGTTTTTTCAATGAATAGTATTAAGGTCAGTGTGGCTGGACTTGAAACCAAGGGGAGAGCTGTAGAAGGTTGAAGAGGCAATAGAGGGTCAATCCTGTGGGGCGTTTTAGGTCATTATAAGGACATAGGCTTTATTATGAGTATAATAAGCTTTAAACAGAAGAATGGCATGACCTGACTTATATTTTAACTAGATTGCTCTAGCTTTATTATTAAAAATAAACTGTGGTAGTGCAGTTGGAAGGCAATAATCCAAATAAAGAATATTGTGGAAGCAGTGGGGAAATAAGTAGTTGGATTCTGAATTTGCTGACATTGGAGGTATGAGATGAGAGAGAGGAGCCAAGGATGACCTCAAGAATGCCAGCCTGAGCAACTGGGGAAAAAATTGAAATTGCCTATTACTGGCACAAGAAAAACTGTAGAAGGAAGAGGTCTCCAGCAGATCATGAATTTAGTTTTGTTTATACTAAGTTTGACATGTCTGTTAGACATCCAAATGGAGATGTCAGGGAGTCCACTGGATATACAAATCTGGAGATCAGGGAAGAATCACAACTAGAGATAAGAATCTGGAGTTCTTGATATATACATGATATTTATAGTCATGAAATAAAAAACAAAGCAGGTGGTATCACATTACCAGACTTCAAACTTTACTATAAAGCTACAATCATCAAAACAGCTTGGTATTGGTATAGGAACAGGCATATAGATCAATGGAATAGAATTGAGATTCCAGAAGCAAAACCTCAATTTCTCAGCCAACTCATTTTCGACCAAG